AAGCAAACCGCTCCAACTCCCTGCCCACGGAGTCGATGCCGACTCAGAGCGACCCAATAGGACAGGGTGGAACTGCCCCCTGTGGGTTTCTGAGGCTGTAACTCTCTATGGGAGTGGACAGCCTCGTCTTTCTCCAGCCAAGTGACTTGTGGTTTTGAACCGCCGGCCTCACAATTCGCAGCCCAACTCGTAACCCAAGACAGCACCAGGGCTCCCCCTCAGGGCAGACGAAGGAATAAAGCTATTCAGGGTACAGAACTCCAGGTTGAAGAGCTGGAACAATGTCCTGTGGGCACTAGGGACCCATGGGAGGTGTTGGAGCCCGGGGAGAGGAGTAGGGACAGTTGACTGAAAGAGAGAAACTGGTGGCTGGAAGCCAGCGTGAGTGAGGGTCTAGGTGGGAGAGGAGGCAGGTGGAGAATCACCAAGGACAAGGGGACAAGGCAGAGAGACTCAGGGAACAGGTGGCTGACGGGGTGACGGACTCCTTGTCTTACACCCAGTCCCCTCTCTGGGCTCTGCTGGGTGCTGGTTCCTCCCCTGGGCCCAACTTGCAACGAACCCATCTGCCATAGGGTGCAGGAGGAAGAGACCAGCGAGGGAGGCAGGAGGCAAGCGAGGGGGTGCTGGGGACCCCCACCTGACGCTGGCTCTCCAGGTCGGCCTTGTTCCCGATGAGTACGACAGGGAAGTCGTCGCGGTCCTTGACACGGAGGATTTGGGTGAAGAGCTTGCTCACCTCGTTGAAACTGGGAGAGGGAGAGAGACCCCGCGCCCAAGACAGCTTAGCCTTGTGCTACCAGGGGGGAACCCAAATGCAAATGTATTACCCCAGAGCGGGATTGCCACTCAGAGCCACCCGGTGGGTTTCCAAGACCGCAAGTCTTTTGGGAAAAGAGCCTGGGTTACGGCGTGGGTCACGCATTTCATTTAGCTGCTGATGGCAAGGTCAAGGTGGTGTCTTGGTTTCTCGCGGGGCTGTGATCCGCAGGGTCGGCAGTTTGAAACCACCAGCAGCGCCGAGGGAGAAAGACTGGGCTTTCTACTCCCGAAAACAGTTACGGTCTCAGACACCTACAGGGGGTCGCTGTGAGTCAGCAACGACTCGATGGCAGTGAGAAGGGGTTCAAAGCCATCCGCAGCTCCGACGGAGAAAGACGAGGCTTTCTGCTTGGGTAAAGACTGACAGCCTCAGAAGAGCTTGTAAGAGCCCCAAATAGAATGATTAAAAAAAAAATTACAGCCTCAGAAACCCACAGGGGCGGGTCTGCTCTGTACAACAGCTGCTAGAAGTCAAAATCTACTAGACGGCATCGAGTTTGTTTGCTTGTGTGACATCTTTACTTCTTTTTCCAGTGGCGTCCTCTGTGGATGTGAACTGCCAGTCTTGCGGTCATTGGCTGACTGCTTTAACCACTGTGCCACCAGGGCCCTTTCCCTAGAGCAGCGGTTCTCAACATGTGGGTCGCGACCCCCTTTCACAGGGGTCGCCTGATTCATCGCAGTAGCAAAATGACAGTGATGAAGTAGCCACGAACATCGTTTTATGGCTGAGGGATCCCCACCACTTGAGGAGCTGTATTCAAGGGTCACAGCATGAGGAAGGTGGAGAACCACTGCCCTAGAGAGTCAACCCAAACCCCACTGCCATCTAGTCAGTTCCAGCTCCCAGCGACCCCACAGAGCAGAGTGGAACTGCCCCTTATGAGTTTCAGAGGCTGGAAACCTTCAGAGGAGCAGGCAGCCTCATCTTTCTCCGGCCGGGTGGCTGGTGGATTCGAACCGCCCATCTCGTGGTTAGCAGCTGTGCCCTTCATCACAGCACCACTCGGGCTCCCTTCCCAGGGGCAAGAGAGGGATAAGACCATGCAGGGAGATCCAAGACAGCCTGGAAGACCTGGGACTTTGACCTGAGGACACTGGGGAGCTACAGCGGGAGTAGTGCCCTGGGGTCAGGTGGGAGGGGGACTGAAGGGGCCCCCCCACCCTGCTCTGTTCCCCCCCAGTTCTCACCTCTGCCGGTCGTTGATGGCAAACACCAGCAGGAAGCCGTGCCCGGCTCTCATGTACTGTTCACGCATGGCCCCAAACTCCTCCTGGCCCGCCGTGTCCAGGACTGTGGGGACAGGCAGTGAGAGGGCCACCGTGTCAGTGTCAGGAGGCTCCCTCCATCCCGCTGCCCCCCCCCACCTGCCCCTAAGCCCTCGGG